ATTTCAATGTGAAATGATTATAGAGGGGGAAAAAATCACTCCTACAGCAGCAATCTTGTATAGCACTTATAAAGGGTAGATGCAGACAACTTGCCTCAGATAAAAACAGAGACGGGTCAGAGATAGTGGCACAATCTCAGTGTTCTGAAAAAGAAAAATAATAAAAACCTCGGCCATGGGCTCTAATGATCAGGAGTCTGAAAAGCTGTTTTCACATGTCTGCAAGAAAATAGGAGCACAGTGGCGGCGGCAATGCCACATCAACACTTTGGGCGGATGGAGCTGCGCGCCAAACAGGGTTAACACACTTCTCTGTCTGAGCTTCACTCTTAATTGGACTTGAAGGCACTGTCAGGTCCAATCGTGATGCGTGGGTGCAAAGCCAAATCTGCTGGAGAGAAACCTGCCAGAACTGCTGTTTGGTGCATCACAAAGGGAAGGGAAGAAAACAAACAGATTGGGTAGGAGCTTTTAAAACCCTACTTCCGAAACTAGGTGGACTTTACAGGAGAAACCTAAACTTGGCTGAGCACAGCTATTATACATGCTATTATATAAGGAGACCTAAAGATTTCAATCTTTTTCTTTTAAAATTTGGTAACTTTACTTCGAATAGGTTAAAAAGCATCCATTGTTGCTGTTGGGATATTCAATCAGATTTAGTCATGAGCTCTGGTCTTCACTTTAAACTCAGAGATTCCTATTTTCACAAGTAAATATAAACAGTGTAATTGTATTTGCAATGTGAAGCTATTCAGTTCAGGTTGACTAATTCATGCATGCATTATTCAACACATCCCTAAATCTATGGTTGTCTTAATGTCAAACAGAGATGGGAAGTAACGAAGTACAAATACTTCGTTACTATACTCAAGCAGATTTTTCTGATATTTTTACTTTACTTTACTACTTATTTTTATGACGAATTTTTACTTCTACTCCTTACATTTTTACACAAATATCTGTACTTTCTACTCCTTACATTTAAAAAAAATTGTATTGTTACTTTAGTTTTGAATCATTTCAATGGAGTTACAGTTATTATTTTTCATGTCATCAATACCAAATTCAATCTAATTGGATGGGAGTCTACGTTGCATTTGACGCACCACTACAAGATGAATCGACAGATTCGGCGGTATTCATTCGCGGCAAATCATTGCAGCTTGGTGGCGGTGGTGTTAGCATAGTAGTATGGACGACGAGATGATTGAAAATGAACACAACGGAGATCTAGTCCTATTGGCAGACATCCATTTAAAATGTAGGCAACGGCATGAAAAAAGTGGTTTCTACTTTTACTTTTATACTTTAAGTAAATTTACAAGCCTGTACTTTGTTACTTTTACTTGAGTAAAGAAGTTTAATCAGTACTTCCACTTTTACCAGAGTATTTTTAACACAAGTATCTGTACTTTTTCTGTATGGAAAGTGAGTACTTTTGCCATCTCTGATGTCAAATAACTGAGATGAGATTTAACTTTTAGCTAAAGCACCAGGGCCCCATGGAAGGCCATATATGATGCCCTTAAGCCCCTTCAAAAAACAGCATAATTCACAAGTGAGCGTCTTCTAAACCCTTTAAAGTCTGGACCATGAAATAATTGACAGAAAATTATATTTTTCTATATAGAGTTGTCATTGAACTCTGAAAAATGAAAGCAAAAAAATATAGATTTTCTATAAATTAAATTAGATCATTTATTTGCATCAATTTTGATACATTAGGCATTTCTGTAGAATAGTACGTCATATACACATTCTGTTCACTAAATGTGTCTCATTGTGTGAGTCAGTGTTTTTAAGATCAGAAAGATCACACTGATGATGCAGATATCTCATGTATCAAATATGATACAATTGGTTTTAAAGGGTGAAATTTGTTGAGGGTTTTTGCTCTTCATTTAGATCACACTTTCATTTAGAGATTTGAAAATGGCCAAATCTAAAAGAAGCATCAAAAATATTGTTTATTTATTACATTTAAGTGAATGCAGACTCGTAAGGTTCATAGGTCAGTATTGCCAACCCTCTGTATGGGTATGTATCATAAAGTACTTTTTAAACTATTGCCTTTAGATTCATTTCTTATTTAAGGTTCCGATCAGATTAAAATGTCAACGTCTTCAGCAAGCTGCACTGTACAGCCATATTTTTTTAAAGGGCTTATACTGGGCACAAGAAAGGTGGGTACCCATTCACCATTGACTGGATGGGCTATAAAGCTATTTAAGAATCATTAAAGGCATAGCTAAGACAAATGTTTGGAGGCAGTTAGCGTTCAGGACAGAAAAACAAACAGATTAAGGCCAATAATCTGCAGAAGACACTTCTCTGATATGCCAGGCAGGAATTAGTGACAAGAATGAACTGATCTGCTGTTTTATTTGTATTCTTTAGATAAATGTAGTGTTTTATTTACCTAATACTGTGTAGGCCAGTTATCAGAAATTTAATTTAATTTTTAAACCTTAACAGCTCTTTCAGAGAATATGTAAAAAAGAAAGCTATGCTTAAATTCTACCCAACTATGAACTCATATAGCCATAACATTTACAATCAAGTTGCACAAGGGGTGTGACTTTATGATGGCTTATATTTCCATAAAATAGATTGATCTGAAGGGAACTTGCACTGATTAGGTTCTGCAAACAGCACAGGGGGATTGACCCGTTTCATCTGCTGAAATCTGGCACTATATAAACAAACTGAACTGAACTGATTCTAAATTCAATTACTTGGTTCCAGAGTAATGAGATCTAAGCCTTTCGTGAACATGGTGGCATCTCAGGCTATCTCCACTGCTGATCAGAGCTCGTAATTCAGATGAAAAGGAAACAGCTTATTTGAAGAAACCAGAAAAGGTGGTTACTTAATGCATTAATTATAGGATTTTTCTTTTTTACTGGACTTGCTAGATTAGATGTATTTTTTCTTACCCTTCTAGTTAGTGTGATGCAGGAGCATATGACCAAATATAATGCTACAACTTCTTGCTGCTGTTCCAACTGCCATTTTATCATTGGTACAGTCCACTGCCTTTAATTATCAAGACTCACTTATCTGTTAAATGTATTCAGCTTTGTTTAAAAGTTAGTAAAACACATGGTGTCAATGTGAAGTCATTTAAAACCACCCTGCAGAAGTTAGCTATCATCAACTGTATGGAAAATATAGATTTTCTGATAATCTCTATAAAAGGTTAAATCAGATAAAACACACACACAAAAAAAATGTGTTTTTCTTTTCTGGGAGATTACAGGTGCTGGTCATAAAATTAGAATATCATGAAAAAGTAGATTGATTTCAGTAATTCCATTTAAAAAGTGAAACTTGTATATTATATTCATACATTACATACAAACTCATATATTTCAGATGTTTATTTTGTTTAATTTTGATGATTACAAATGACAACAAATGAAAATCTCAAATTCATCATATCAGAAAATTAGAATATTGTGAAAAGGTTCAAAATTGATGGCCCCTGGTGCCACACTCTAATCAGCTAATTAACTCAAACCACCTGCAAAAGCCTTTAAATGGTCTTTCAGTCTAGTTCTATAGGCTACACAATCATGGGGAAGACTGCTGACTTGACAGTTGTCCAAAAGACGACCATCGACACCTTGCACAAGGAGGGCAAGACACAAAAGGTCATCGCTAAAGAGGCTGGCTGTTCACAGAGCTCAGTGTCCAAGCACATTAATAGAGAGGCGAAGGGAAGGAAAAGATGTGGTCGAAAAAAGTGTACAAGCAAGAGAGATAACCGCACCCTGGAGAGGATTGTGAAACAAAACCCCCTCAAAAATGTGGGGGAGATTCACAAAGAGTGGACTGCAGCTGGAGTGAGTGCTTCAAGAACCACCACACACAGACGTATGAAAGACATGGGTTTCTGCTGTCGCATTCCTTGTGTCAAGCCACTCTTGAACCACAGACAGCGTCAGAAGCGTCTTGCCTGGGCTAAAGAGAAACAGGACTGGACTGCTGGTGAGTGGTCCAAAGTCATGTTCTCTGATGAAAGTAAATTTTGCATTTCCTTTGGAAATCAAGGTCCCAGAGTCTGGAGGAAAAGAAGAGAGGCACTTCATCCACGTTGCTTGAAGTCCAGTGTAAAGTTTCCACAGTCAGTGATGGTTTGGGGGGCCATGTCATCTGCTGGTGTTGGTCCATTGTGTTTTCTGAGGTCCAGGGTCAACGCAGCCACATACCAGGAAGTTTTAGAGCACTTCATGCTTCCTGCAGCTGACCAACTTTTTGGAGATGCAGATTTCATTTTCCAACAGGACTTGGCACCTGCACACAGTGCCAAAGCTACCAGTACCTGGTTGAAGGACCATGGTATCCCTGTTCTTAATTGGCCAGCAAACTCTCCTGACCTTAACCCCATAGAAAATCTATGGGGTATTGTGAAGAAGAAGATGCAATACACCAGACCCAACAATTCAGAAGAGCTAAAAGCCACTATTAGAGCAACCTGGGCTATCATAACACCTGAGCAGTGCCACAGACTGATCGACTCCATGCCACGCCGCATTGCTGCAGTAATACAGGCCAAAGGAGGCCCAACTAAATACTGAGTGCTGTACATGCTCATACTTTTCATGTTCATACTTTTCAGTTGGCCAACATTTCTATAAATCCTTTGTTTTTATTGGTCTTCAGTAATATTCTAATTTTCTGATATGATGAATTTGAGATTTTCATTTGTTGTCATTTGTAATCATCAAAATTAAACAAAATAAACATCTGAAATATATGAGTTTGTATGTAATGTATGAATATAATATACAAGTTTCACTTTTTAAATGGAATTACTGAAATCAATCTACTTTTTCATGATATTCTAATTTTATGACCAGCACCTGTATATTCTCCTCTTTAAAAAAAAAAACTTATCTTAGTGTTTTTTTGAAACTATGCTGCAACAATGTCAGAAAATTTACCAAATCTGCTAAATGTATGAAATTAAAACAATGTGTCTTCACTGATCTCACCTTGGTGTTGATTCTGCTCTCCGTCGTCCTCTTCTCCTTCTTCATAGTCTACCTCCTCTATTGCTTCATCCTCCTCCTCTGCCTCCTCTACCCTCACTTCCTCGCTTTCCTCTTCTTCATCTTGCTCTACCTCTACCTCCTCTTCCTCCTCTCCCTCCCCTCTATCCTCATTCTCCCTGTCTTCATGCTCCATTTGTTCAACATTATAGTCCATGTAGCCCTCCACATCTTCCTCTTCCTCCTCCACTTCTCCCTCCTCCTCAACGGCCCCCTCCTCGTCTTCTTCCCTGTCATCCATCTCTTCTGTCCCGTCTGTCTCGTAGCATTCCTCCATGGTGGAGTTGTCCATGTCATCCAGGTAGGTGCTCCTCTTCGGAGAGGTTTCCAAAGTTTGTCTATCTAGACCCTTCCGCTTCTTGGCCAAAGGGCAGCCGTACACACTGGAGAGGAGAAACCAAAATACCTGTTAGTCAAGTTTTTATGAATTAAACCAACTCAAAATAGCGCAGAACTGTGAATTCAAACAAAAATTATACAATGTTTAGATAAAAAAAAAAAATCACATTTTGGCCCCTTTTTCGATACCCCTGAAAGAAATCAATTGAAGCATTGTTTATATTTTATGGGTGCAAATTACCAGCATTTTGCCTTCAGCTGTGGCAGGAAGAAAGCAACTGTTGTGCTGAAATAAATGTAAGGAAAAGAGTAACCGTCACCATGACCCTCTCCATTTAATATGACTGAGCTGCAGCTATTTTTGAATGAAATATGCAAGAAAAGAAAGGGCATACTGAAGAGCATTATCTCATTCAAATCAATTCACAAACACTTTATTATTCCCAAAGGGAAATGAAACATTGCAGTAAGTCAAACGTAATTTTTTAACCAGGTGTTGTTGATGCTGATAGCTGTAGGCAGGAAGGATCTGGAGAAAACTCTTACAGAAGACACTCTGTTTCTGATTCTTCTTTGTGAAATTATCTCCAATCCCCAGAGCCTGCTTTCTTTAATATCTTGTTAATCTTCTTTAAGTCATTAGATCTAATACTATTACCACAGCAGAGGACGGCAAAAGAGATCACACTCTCCACAACAGATTTATAGAAGATATGCAACATAATAGTGCCAATACTGAAGGACCTAAGCTTCGTTAGGAAGTAAAATCTGCTCTGTCCCTTCTTGCAGACAGCTTCTTAGTTGTGTCTCCAGTCCAGTTTGTTTTCCAGTTGAACACCAAGATATGTTTAATTCTCAACCCCCTCCACTTCTTTACTCAGCCTCTTGTCCATTTTAATGCAAACAATGCAGTAATCTGAGTATTTCTGAAGATGACACGACTCTGTCTAGTACTGGAAGCCAGAGGTGTACAGAGCAGGGGCTAAAAAGGAAAATATAAATTCTTCTTTCCAAATTCTCTAATGAAAAAAAAAACGTTTCCTTTCCAGTAATATTTATAAAATGCCAATAAATAGAAAAGAAAACCTTTTGTTTGTGTAGCTTCACAAAAATGTCAAAGGAGTTAAATGCATGCAGAACCACAGAAGGGAAGCAGAGCATGAAGTTGTTCTGAAGTTGTTCTGCCAAGATGGATATAAAGCATTAATTAGATGTGCTCATTAATAGGAATGCCTAAATGCAACAAAGCAAAAAAAAATAAAAAACAAAAAATTAGTTGGTCCGTCAGGCAAAACAAAATCAGGGTCCTTTTTCTGCTAACACCTGAAAACTAAACTTAAAACAGTAAAACACAACGGTTTGTAATTTACTGTAATTGAGAACAAACCTGTAGCCTAAATCATTAAGGCAGCTCAGGTTTTAATATATTATCCGGTTCTCTTCAGCACCTGGGGAAAGATCCTAATCTGGTAATCTGATAATCTGTCCATTTGCTCAGGCTATTGATCACAACAAGGATCTTATTTCATTAGATTCATCGAATCTAAGGGAGTCCTGCAGCATCCACGTGACTTAAGAAATCATCCACACAATCAGTATTTGTAGTGTTTTTTTTTTGTCTGTCATTTGAACCAAAAGGACTCTGTTCATCCAATATCGTCATCTTCTTTTCTCTGTTCAACATCTGGATTTCCTTTTTTTAATTTGGTACAATTGAAAGAAACTTTTTGAGAATGAAAGGCTCAAATATGTTGTTAAAAGATAAATATTTTGGATACATCTACAATGCCTACTTTACTCATATTCCAATCCAGTTCCATCCAGTAGCCGATCTATACTCAGTCAGTCAAGGCTAAATCTCTGCCAGTCTGGGGATTCCTTAATGGTCTTGACCTCCTGCACCACCCGCGACCAGGGGCCTCATTTCATTAATCTAAGCCTACATGGAAACTCATTCCCTGCCTGACAAGCTCTCCCCCCAGGGCAGTGAGAGGGTCTGTGGGACAGTGAGGGAGGGGGCTGAGGCTGTGCTGCGCCACAGTGATCAATAGTGCTTGTGACCAAACATCTCGAAAGCACATTAAAATGCCACTCATCCTGGCTCCTCTGTTCCAAGGCCCTCTCCAAATAAATCAAGGGCCAGTTCCAGCAGGCAGGCGGGCAGGCAGGAGAGGAGGGGTAGAAAGGGAGAGAAGTGGTGTGAAAGGGAGATAGACATGGGTTCTCTCCCCCTCCTTTTCTGCTTCATCACCTGGCCTTGCTTTTCTACCTGTTTTTTTTTTGGTTTTTTTGAACAATAAAACAGTCCAAAGGAAATGTTTCTTGTCAAGCTTTGAGCTGCAGTGTGGCCCGGTGCCTGACAGGTCTTAATGCAACTACATCTAAAAAAAAAAAACAGAAAAAAAGGACACGTTGCTGAGCTGAATAATTGCAGCGACATCAGCTAATGGACAGCAAATAATACAAGGAGGCATGCGTATTTTGAAAGGAGTCAAGTACGCCTTATTATTTTGGGTAAAAAGACCGGCCAATCACAGAAAGCGGACCACCTGAATGTGCGCAAAGAATTTTAATGACGCTCTGACAGCACAGTGTAGTGCAGAATATCTTCCTTAGATTAACTTTCTGAAAAGGTTGACATTGAAAGCAGTAACATTCCTTAGATGGTTATTAGATATTGTTTGCTTTATTTTTAGGGGATTGACTACAAAAAGAAATGCCCTTTATGCTTGAAGAAAATGTTTGAAGTTTGAAATTTGAAGTCCTTTTAGAATGTCATATAGCTTCTGTCTTAGCCAAGTGTTTCTCTGATCGGTTGACTTTTTTGTGATGTCTCCTCTCCTGGAAATAGATGTTGAGCTGAGTTTGGAAACTTGGATAAAAACTTTCACATCTGGAAAGCTTTCAGTTGGTTAAGTCAGAGAAAGTACAGATATGCTTCAAGATGTTTGCCAGTATTTTATATTTCCTGTTTGCATCGTATGCTACGTTTGATTCAACATTCACCTGGGCACTGTTTGGAAATATGCTGAGTCATTCTTTAAAGAGCTACCTACCCCAAAATCACAGTTTTTGTTAATAAACTGTATAAACTTATGTTTTATAATGGTATATATATACGCCAGGCATTACTTAGACAGTTTACTGCATTGGGGAGTGGCGCCGTAGTGGTTAGGGCATAGAGCTTGGAATCCTGAAGTTGTGAGTTTGAGGTATGACGCAGATATTTTTTGATTTACGGCCAATATTGAAGCGTGGCCTGCGCTATGTCATTCCACGCCACAACGCAAGAGGGACAATCTAAGGGTCCCAGCATTCTCGTGCACCTCGCTCTTCTAGCTGCTCCATCTTCACGAGTTGTTTTCCACAAGGGTGGTCATACAAACAAAACAAGATGTTAAGGTACGAAGCTGGAAATATGCATAGTGTAGATCAGATGTAGATTTCACCAATCAGAGGCCTCCTGTCTGCAGTCACCTACAATTCTGGAGACGTCCAGCAGAGTGTCTGCGGAAGGGGCAGAGGCACATTTGCATTCACTGCGACACACATGCAGACGACCCGGTTTCTGAGTATAAATCAGCCTTCACTCCTCACAGTGGTTTACATAGGAACTGTCAACACATTAAATGAGTTTCTTATAAGAATAGTAAATGTATTAGAATTGGCCTTAAATTAGAGTGCATGATTTGGCATTCATTTTGTGTCAATGGGTAACAAGACATGAAAGCTTGTAATCTTTGATTATTAAAATTGTTTGTTTCAGATATTTATTCATGATCCCCACACGAGCATGTGGGAGGAAGGAGCGGCAAGGCAGAGTCTCTGCCAGCACCTCCAACTAGTATGGCTCAGTCAGCGCTGCTGGCTTCCTCCACAGAATCATCCTCTCTTTCCCCCTTTTCCTCTGTCTCTGGTGAAGTTCGGTGGGAGAGATCCAACAGCTCTGCGCAAAACTATCATCGCTGGGATTTCTCTGCTCTCCATATTTGTTTCGCCGTGCCAGTGTGCGGCCGTCAATCAAAGCCCAGATCGCACCCAATCCATCTGCACGTTCAGCATTAGCTTGGGTTATGTCTTTTATAGAGAATTTTTCAAATAATATATGTTGGAAAAAATAAGGCTTTGGAGGGACGAAAGTTGTAACATCTAAGCTCTATAGGTGACTGTAAAGGTTTTGTAAAATGCCGTCATGATTGAGCTGATAATATAACACCAGGCTAAGAAAGAAATTCTGACTAACGAAAGTTCCAATTTGATTTTTAGAGCCATGAGACAACATTTTAGCAAACATTTATCGACAGATCATAGTCAGTTCCTCCAAAGCCTGTTTCCAACTTTGTTTGCAAAGGTTCTAGCACTAAGCTCACATGAAGGTGGTCCAGAAGTTAGGTACCATTTCTTGTATCACTTTTCAAGGTTAGATTACAGTCTGCATTATAACTCTAAAGAAAAGTAATCACTCTAATGTGTATTTGCTTTAAGTATTTTGCTGCTTTGCTGATACAGGATCACTCTTTTTCAAATCTATACCAAAAACATTTACAGAGACCACTTAAACAGAACTAGTGCAGAATCTTCGCATCTGTGGCACCAAAGCTATTTCAATTAAGCAGCTATAATTAATATAGTATATTGCAGCTATGACTCAAAAATTACAATACACAGTCTAATATAATACTTTAAAAACTCTATCTAATTGAAGTTTCACTATCCTTGCATATTGCTTAAGCCTAAACTAATGGAATGGTAAAACATATGTACTTATATAGCACTTTTTCAAGTCAGGAGACTTGACCAAATCGCTTTACACTACATCCAGTCATTCACCCATTTATGCACACACTGATGGTGGTAAGCTAAATTGTAGCCAGAGTTTCCGTGGGGCTTACTGACAGAAGCAAAGCTGCCATACACTGGCACCACCACACCGCCTAGCTGCAGGGCAAACTCCTGCATCCGATGCCACTCTTGTCCCATTGGGTATTTTATGGTGAACGATCTGGAGCACTAAGAGCATTGAAGTACACAGATTATCCTTATC